GAGCCCTCCCAGGAATCTTCCGACGGTTGTTTCATCGTCTGCTTTGCGATGGTAGCCTCCGAGCCCTCCCCGGAATCTTCCGACGGTCTCGAGACTTGATGTTCGGTCGCTCTTATTTCTACTTGTGCTTCTTTCAGCTTCTCGAAATCGGCATCGTCCACCTGGAGAAAGTAGTAAAGTTTGTTGTCTTTCTCGTTCCGCAGATATTGGAATCCCCTAGCGTTATTTATGGGAGGATCCGAGTTCAGGACAGCGGGTTTGAAGCGTTCCACTTCCTCGCGAACGTCAAGACCTGTCGCCTCGTATAGCTGCCGGGCGACCGCCTCCCTCGCAGCAATCTGGAGCTGCACCGATGCGCTACCGCTTTGTTCCGCCGCAGAAAGAAATTCTACCTCGCTGATTTTCCCGCCTGGAACAATCTTTGTCTTTCTAGATTTTTTGCTGGGGCTAGGGATCTTGCTCCTGAGGATCAGCATTCCTCGGGTCCTATGGACGACAAACACCTTGGCGAAAAAGTCGGCGGTTTTGTAGTCCACCCTGCACACACCATCGTTGGGCACAATGGCGGCGGAGGAGCACATCTCGAAGGTGAACGACTTCGGAAGGTTTGATGTGTCGATCTCCCCCGACGCAGTCTTTCCCTGGTTCAGTACCTTTTCGTTGAATCCACGGATCGCTACCTTGGCCTCTTCTTTTTGCTCCTTTTCGCTGAGCTGCTCGTGGCGCTTCTTCTGGCGGAAAGATTCCCCAAATTCAAAGTTTTTGGTGCTTCTCCGGGAGGTTTTCTCGAACTTGGCCCGCACCGAGTTCATGTCCGGCAGGTGCTCGAGCTCGACCGTGGAGACGGCGATCCGGTCTCGGACGATGCTCTTCTCGGTAGCCGGTGAGTAGTTGTCCTCAAAAGAGCGACGACTGTGGTTGCTGGAACTCTTAATGGGCACAGAATCCCCAGGAAGCGCCTCGTGGGCCACTTTTTCCTGGTATTTGGAAATTAATCCCGAGGCTCTTCGGTTTCTCGATGCGCTCAGGGCGCTGTGCGATGCTGCGGTGTGTTTCAGCTCCGGCATGGCGAGGGGCGTCGTCGTTGTAGCGGTGGTTTCGGATCCATCGCTGTTGCTCCGCCTGAGGGGCGGCACAATAGAATGGGAGGGGGTCCGCCTAGGGGTTATGATTCGTTTCTTGCTTTGGGCGCTGCCAAATGCTTCGGCAAAGGAGATCCCGTCGCTCCGGGGGGTTATTATTGTGAGGGGAGCCGGCGCGGGTTTGGGACTTGGTCTAGGTTCTTCTGTCTCGGCAGCGGTGTTGGAAGCCTTATCTGTGGAGTCGCTAGCAGTATCGGTATTCTTCTCCTTGTTTGCCAACAAGCGATCGACTTCTTGGCTGTGTGCCTCTGCCAAACCCGGTCTTTGCCCTGAAACAATGAGCGCCTCCGGCGTCTCGTCTCCGGGATTATCGTTTGGCGCGGCTTCCTCTTCCGTCGTTGCTTCCGCCTCGGAAGCGGCCACATCCATAGCTAGTTTCTCGTCTTGATCTTCTTGTGCTTCTTGTGTCTCTTCCGGGACCTCGGCTTCGGAATCTTCCTCGGCTTCCGAATCGGCGATCGTCTCGGAGGCCATCTCTTCCAGGGTTGGTTGGTCTTCCTTCTCTGGAGCGGCTGCCGTGTTACCTTCCTCTTGTTCGTTCTCTGACCCGCCCTCTTCAACGGAATCATCGACCAGTGCTTCTTGAGTCGCACTATATTGTCCTAAATTCTCGCTCTCCTCTTCGAAACCGCTGTCCGTTTTGTTGCTTGGAGTGTCATCCTTGCCCTTCTCTACTGTGGAAATTTCGTCGCAGGCGTCGATTTCCATTGGCGAGTCGGTGGTACCTTCATCGATCGGACTTACAAAGGTCACTTGAGCAACTGTTTTTTCTTCATTGTAGGAAGGTGTAATTGGTTTCTCAGCGTCGGCCGAATCATCCCCATCGCTCGCGGTGGGTTCTGGGATTGTATCGGCGTCGACTAGTGGCGAATCGTTGTCGCTGTCGTCGCTTGGAGATCCCTCCTTCTCTCTGGCTTCGGGTTTCTCCTCATCGGCGGGAAATTCGCCCTCATGTTCGTCGGTCTCGTCCTCGTCGCTAACACTAGTAGTGGTGGTAGCTACACCTGTGTCGTCATCGTCCTGGCTGATCTTTTCGCTCGGAGGATTCCCTCCCATGTTCTTTTCGTCCTCCGGTGCCTCCACTGTTTCCGATGCCGACAATTCCTCGTCGGAGGGATTTTCTCCTTTTGCTGCTGGTTGTGGGGTAGTGACCACCGGCTCGAGCGGCATCATTTCGGAATTACCGCGTTTGTTCTCGTCCCCATCTGCGATGATTGGATCATCCACTTCTGGTGGTTCGGTTTGGTGTTTGACTCGCGTCTCGTCCTTGTCTTTTTCACCCGAAGGATCCATATCACTTGCGCCATTTCCAACATATTCGGGATTTACTAACAGTACTGGTGGGATTTGTGCGTCGGTGGCGAATGGAGCGTCCGCCGCATTGCCGTGCGATGGGGGGAGATCATCGGTACGAGCAATGCTGTCTGCCATGGTTTCTTCTGTTTCTGAATAGTACACGGTAGTTTCGTTCTATGGACGCTTCCGCAGGTACGTTTCTCTGCCGCACTTCTGTTGTGGGTACGAATACGTTGCTTTTTGATCCTTTTGGTTCCAAAATTAAGAGAGGAAGCGTACACACGCAATCTCTGATAGTAGATGACGATAAATTGAATTGTTGATTCGTCTCGAAGCGAGAAAGAATTTTGGGATCGGTACGAGTGTCACTTGTACTGTGAACAGGACGTAATGATCGCGAACGATACGTAGTAGGAACAGAAGAAAAAACCTGGTATCGTACTGTACGATGTACCTACATTAATCGTACTTGTGCGTACGTACCACAAAATACAGTACTGGTTCACTTAATCACAGTAGTACTACAAAGATCGAAACGTACAGTACGATGTTGTCAAAGCGCCAGTATTGTAATTGACAGCATACTGTAGTACCACAACGGTAACACAATACAAGAACCCGTACTCAGTTGTACAAAACGGCACGGTATCATCTTCTTTCCTCAATTCAAATACATTCGCACGTACCAGCTAGTGTACTTGTCCGGTACAACGTAAGTACTAGGTACTGAACTACCGGTACTTTTCGGATGACTTACTCGCAACTTTCCGTACGGTACGATACCAATTACCTACCGGTACGTATACTCATTATTTTAAAAACGAAAACGTCGGCTTCGCAAAAAATGCCTTGGGGTGTGAAAGCAGTTTGTTGTTCATAGCTCTGCCGGCGTGCAAGAAGCAAGCCGACAAAACACAAACGGCACAAAACGCCACGGGAACACAAAATGAAAAATGATTTTGTTTTTGATGCTGGGGACCATCGGAAAAATTGTGCGTCGCAATACTTTTCCGCAATCTTCACCTTTTTTCAAACAGGGGACAAGCCTGTTCCGGAATGGAAACAGCCAAAAGCAAGCATAGCATCGTGCTTCTACAGGGTAAGATTTCAGGAGTGTGTTAAAGATCAGTGATCAAAACCAAAAATCAGAAGCTAAGTTGATGCAATGGTTCATTCCCAAAAACATATATCTGTGTACTTTTTGGCACGCCCCGCTCGGTTTATGTAAAAAAAAACATAAATTTTGGTAGTAGTGGGCCCTCTACTACCAACATTTATGTAATTGACATATTTTTTCATCGGAATCCTTGACTTAACATTTTCCAGTCTCGGGAGCAGGCGCGCCCTAAACAGGCGGCAAACCGATTCCTCAAGTGTCAAGGAAGAAAAAAGCAC